TGAAATAAAAGAGGGAGGGGAAGGGAAGCGGGGGGGGGAGATGCCAGAGCCACCCGGCCACGAGCAGGTACGTGGAGACACAAAGAGCCGCCGCTGGCTTTTGCCCATTGCTGTTAAAAAACAAGCCCAAGGGGACAAAAATTAGAGGGAAATAATAATAAATACACATATTTTTTCAGCCCTCCCTCTGTTCAATCCCCCGCTGATGCTCAGTGACCTCCTGTCCCCAATCTGCCCTATTTTTTTTTTCTCCCCCCCTTAAATTTCCCAGTCGGGGGAGCACGCGGACCCGCGGGGCCCTTTGGGCAACGGCTCTCACTCCGGTGGGCGGCTGTCGGGTCCCAGCGCTCGCTGGAGGGAGATGCGGTCGCTGGCAAAGGCGTTGAAGCAATGCTTCTCGTAACCTCGCTCCTTCTCCTTCGTCTCCTCCGGCGTCCATCGATCCTTCTTGAAGGCTTTGCCATCGGCTCCGGGGCTGGCGGGGTCTTGGGGGGGTCTCTCCATCAGCGGCCGAAGCTCCGCTGCCGTGTAGACGCCGGGCAGGCAGGAGCGAGCGCTGGGTGCCAGTTCCTCCTGCCGAACCGGAGCTCCGATCTGCAGCTTCGGCATCGAGTCTCGGATGTTGTTGACCGCCCCCAGCATCAGGTCCAAGACTTGGTCCTTCCCCTGGACAATGTTCTTCAACCAGGGCTCCTCGCTCGGGTCTTTGCTCCCCACGTCTTTCTGCAGGATGAAGAGGAAGATGACGAAGACAGCGCCTGCCAAAGCCACCTTCAAGGGGCTGTAGCGTCTCCGCAAGAGCCTCATTTTTTTTTTTTTCCCCCCTCCACGTGGTTGGGCACCAATGGGTGTCTCAGGGATGTGGGGTCTCAAGGTGCTTCATGTTGATCCGCTCCTAACCTGGGGAGAAGGAGAAACACCTGCAGGTTAATTCCCAGACTGGATGTGCACCCCCTAGAGACCCACGTAATATTAATTCTGTATCAATACAAAGCTCGTTCCCTGCTATGGAGCAAGCCAGACCCCCACATCCTTGCCTCCCTGGCCCCTAAATCCACACTGAAAATAAACCACCAGCAAAAGTGAGGGCGGAGAGGTGCTGCAGGACATGCTGGATCCGCCGGCCACCAGCGCGGGACATTCCCAACCATTTCTCCTGCGACCCAGCCCAGCTGCTGCCACATCCCCCTGCAACCTCCCCACGTGTGCCGGGAGGCGCGTAACGAAGCTAAAATAAAGCCGCAAAATTTGCTGAAATATTTTTGGCCGCATGGAAGAAAAAAATCCCCAAACCTCTCCCCGGGTGTTTTTCCTGTCTGCAGCGTGGCTGGGAAGGAAAACACGGGCAAGACCCCGCGGCGCTTCGGTTTCAGCTGAATTGGAGCAGCGGATTCAGTGCCCGGTGCGGCGGCCACC